CCTATCCATGTTTAGAGCTGGCCTTAGAGAAGACCTGCGTACGGAACTCTTTGCTCGAGGTATAGACTCTTTAGAGGCAGCCTGTAGCCTAGTTCTCGACCTTGAAGATTCTAGAACCCACTCCCAAACTAGGCACTTTGACTCCCGTTCGAATTCGTATAGAACCTCGTCTGGACAACCTCAAACCCGACCCTCAGGATCGACTACAAATCGAACCCCTGCTAGTTCGGCCCCACCTCGTACGGACCTCAAAGGTAGAGCTCCCGAGCGTGACGCTTCCAAGCCCAATTCTGGAACCAAGTGCTATAGGTGTCAAGGATACGGACACATTGCTTCGCAGTGTTCTAGCCCGTACAAAGTCACCATAATCGAAGAGGTGGACAAAGAGGAAGAAGAACCTGAGACTGATTTGGTTCACCAAGTGGATGATGAAGAAGACTCTTTTACTGAAGAAGAACCTGTGACCTTACAAGTTGTTAGGTGCGCTTTGGCCCAACCTAAGTTAAGCGACGATTGGCGTAGAACCTCTATTTTTCATACCTTCATTAAGATCGGAGAAAAGAGCTGCAAGGTTATCATAGATAGTGGAAGTTGTATCAACGCAGTCTCCTCAGCCATGGTCTCCAAGCTCAATCTGAAAGTGACCCCGCACCCAAATCCGTATAAGGTTTCTTGGATCAACTCGACTACTATAGAAATTAAGGATCGAAGCCTTATTCCAATAGAATTTGTGGGATATCAAGACAAGATTTGGTGCGATGTTCTGACCATGGATGTGGGTCAAATTATCCTTGGTCGCCCTTGGTTATTTGACAACGACGTCCATATTTATGGGAGGACGAACACCTGTGTGTTCGAGCACAATGGAAAGAAAATCAAGTTAATGCCTTCTCAACCTAAACCTCCCAAAACGGAAAATAAACCTACCTCAGCCAAGCAAAGTAAGGGCCTCCACTTACTGACAGCGAAAGAAGTGGAAACTGAGATCACCCAAGGAGCCCCTATGTATGCCCTAGTGGCTAGAGAGGTAGATGAGGACCAGAAAGAACCAATCCCCGATGCCGTTAAACCTCTTCTTGAAAACTTTGCGGATGTTTTCCCAGAAGATTTACCTAACCAACTGCCACCCCTGCGGGACATACAGCACGCAATAGACTTGGTGCCAGGGGCATCCCTACCCAACCTTCCTCACTACCGTATGAACCCGACTGAACACTCTGAGCTTAAGAAACAAGTTGATGAACTCCTTCAACGAGGATTCATTAAGGAGAGCCTTAGCCCCTGCGCTGTTCCTGCTCTTTTAACGCCCAAAAAGGACGGCTCATGGCGAATGTGTGTTGATAGCCGCGCTATCAACAAGATTACTGTCAAATATAGATTTCCCATTCCTCGGCTGGATGACATGCTGGACATGATGACGGGAGCCACTCTCTTTTCCAAGATAGATCTTAAGAGTGGGTATCATCAAATTAGGATCCGTCCCGGGGATGAATGGAAAACGGCTTTCAAAATCAAATATGGACTTTATGAGTGGATTGTTATGCCGTTTGGACTGAGCAACGCCCCTAGTACCTTTACGAGAGTTATGACTCAAGTTCTGAGACCTTTCTTAGGAAAGTTCGTAGTCGTATATTTTGATGACATCTTGATCTACAGCACTTCGGTGGATCAACATCTCAAACATATAACACAAGTCTGTGAAGTTTTGAGGAAAGAAC